ACCTACTAACGGTCTTCAAAAAGAATGGTTATCTTTACAATTTCATCAAAAAGCGTTTAAAATCGAGTCACAACACCAACAAGAAACCATCATCAAAGACTACAAGAAAATTCACTCTACCATAAATAAAAATGTATCTGAAAAGCAGATAGAATATTAAAACTGTTTGAAATAGATATAGCACACAAGCCAGCCAACACAATCACTTCATTCGATATTGTGCAAACCAAAATATGATAAAATTAATACCACTTACAAAAAAAATTGTATGAACTGCAATAAACATTACATCAAGCAAAGTGGACATCCCCTTCGAATCCGAATGCAAGAACACAAATTAGCTGTAAAAAGACATGAAATACATTCTTTCGTAACAGTGCATGGGGATAATTATGGACACCAGTTTGATTTGGAGAATGTAGAAACTTTAAATGGAGGAAACACCAAAAGTGCCAGGGAATTCTTAGAGCTTGGTACTCAAGTGACTTCGTCGAAAAGAAAATTTTCTTCGCTGCAATTGTCTTTTTTAGTTAACAAACATTAATATAGACCAAATTTACATACTGAAAAAAAGTAAATCACATGACAAGAAAGTTCGAATTCCAAGTCAATAAAATAATCATTACAGATGTAAATTAACAACCAGTCACGAAGATGGTTGTCAGAAGATACAATTACATCATTCATGGAGAATTTAATTGAGTTCATTTTTTGCTAAAACTTGCATTGAAGATGTTGTCCAGAAGGATAACGAAAGATTCACAATTAAATCAACCAGCTCAGAGCACAAATAATTCAAAATGCCTCTACATACTGAATAGTTTATGCACGTTTGCATACACACATTTCAGCTAAAAAATAGCTACTATGATGATAGGAATACGCCATTTCTACTTATAATTAGGTGGCATACCGACTTCCATATCTTTTTCTATCATATATTCAAAGAAGAAGTCGACGATCTCTAATAAAGGAATGTTGGTGAACAGGGAACTGACAAACAAAGAGATAATTATCTCATCAGTGATCTTCTTATCTCTCACTTTTCTATTCACGTATTAGTTTGTAGGGATTTTGATTGATTGGTTACAGGATCCCATCATGACTAGCAACTGTCCCTATTCCGGTAGATAGTTATCTGAAGTTCTAGTGAGAAGTCATGACCAGTAGGGTGCAGCAAGCCGGGTGTGAGGACAAATACTCACTGGTGGCGATACTGGCTAGTGGTCGTGCAATTTCATGAATTCGCAGAAGTTGGAATTGACAGGCCATTGGATAGGGTCTCAGTGGCTTAAGCGTTTGCGAGGTCGTCTTGTATCCAGAAGGTCCTGAGTTCGAATTCTGGAGGAGGGAGAGTACTGTGAAGAGTCTCAAACCAGGACGAAACAGTTGCCCAGTACTCCCAGCTGGTTTTCTACTGGTTCTCTAACCAATGTCATCTCATGATGAAATCCTGTAATTAATCTTTTTCTTTAACCGTCCTCCCACTTTTGATTTAACGTAATTCGGTTTGTCCTTTTTTTCTATAACTTGATTTGAACTAACCATCTTAATGTGCAACTGATTAGTTACTTATCATCAACTTCGTATCTCTTGCCTTGATTATATAACTCAAATTTCAACGTATCCGACTATTATTTCTGCTTTTTTTTAAACTGTAATCTGTCTGCATAAGTTAAATAAGAGTAAATTTTGACCACTGTTGATTAATTTTCTTTTCTGAGTTTGACTGCGGATTGATATCAGTTATAGAACCATTGAAATCACACAGGGAGTACTGGACAACTAATTTCTGCTAGTTTATAACTCATTAGAAGCACGCACCCATCACGGGTTCGAACCCAGGACATTCCGGTTATAAGGCAAGTTCGTATACCATTCAGCCATTGGGACACCATTCAGTGATCAACCCATGAATTCTAACTTCTACCAATTTGTGATTTTTAGCGCAACCACCGACCATTGTCATCGGCGGGAAATCCATCCTCACTCCCGACTGGATGGGCCTCATGGGTCTCAGTGGCTGAATGATACACGAGCTTGCCTTGTAAATGGAAGGTTCTGGGTTCGAACCCTGGTGCAGAGTGCGTACTGTCGGTGATTCCAAAACTAGGACGAAACTGCTGTCTAGTACTCCCAGTGAGTTTTCAATGGTTCTCTAACAGATATTAATCCGTGGTCAAACTCGGAAAAACAAACTTTTGAAAGTAATAATTTTGTGTCTCTGTTAACCAAAAAATCATGTCACCCTTGTAGCAAGTATGTTAAAATTTCTCTGTGAATATGCACAAATAACTTTTAGGTTTTGTCCAGCTGAACAGAAACCAACAGAGCAAATGATGGTCTCACCTTATGCTACATAAACACTTGTTTCTGCTTCATTTAAACTCATAAAGTAGTGTAAGTGTATGAAGTTTCGTTTAAATGTTACTGGCGATATGATTCTTATATATTAAACTGATAGGAAATGACTTCTTCAAACCTTACAGTGTTCCAACTTCTCATAATTTTCCAAATGAAATATATTAAGTATCAGTTTCCAGGGAGATATATCCGAAGAAATTTTTCTTTTCGTCCTATGCAGTCAGCGGAAAATATGCCATCGCTAACGTCGTCGTGTTTAAATGAAGCTAAGACGTTCTGAGCCAGTATCTAATTTCACAAAACAACGTACAACAATACAATACAACGTTCACAAAACTACAAAACTCAAGTTTCAAAGTCGTGTGATTACAACTGATATGATTATGAACAGTAAATTTTGTTTGAAACTTCATCCAGTAAATAATACTGTTTCACTGTGTGATACATCTAATGAACGAACTAATATGGGACGTAATTTCAAATAAAGTGGATACGAATATTCTTTCTGATAATATACTTCTGTCTTGTTTATTTCGGCTTTATAAGAAATTTATGGTGGCGTAAATGGTTGGGAAACGGTTTTATTATGAAGACTTCAAGTATTAGAAAGATAACAATTTTGTTGTTATAGATGGTTGGAGGCAATCGGCAGGAAGCCCTGTCAAGACGTAGGTTTTGTGCTTGTTTGCACTTACCAGTTGGCAAGGCACATCTACAATATTGAAGGAATTCATGTCCATTCTGAGATTGGAAACCTAGGTCCAAGGCTTTCTGACGATTGATGGAGAGCCACCTGGTATGGTAGCCACATTGCGAACCTAACTGATAGAATTCAGTCTGCAGTAAGCAAATAACTAGACAAATGTCACTAATTAGTGTCCAGTCAAAAGATAACAGTAATAATGTTATTAAATGGTTGTACGCAGTCGGCACCAAACAAATGACTAGACGTATGACACTACATCATATTGTTCAATCAAAGATGGCAAATTGCAAGCCATTGCTCAATCAATTTTAATTAAATGTTTCTATTCTGAAGGTAGTGACACGAATTAGTGGGACTTAGTTAGTCCGAATATAACGAAAATGGTAAGACGTGCTTGCTATCGAGTAGACACATGTAATATATTTCGATCAGGTCAGTTAGCAATTGAGAGTATACGAGTGTAGCAAATAACAACCATATATATTTATACGAATGTACAGCTTAGATGATGACTTCTTCAAAAAGTAAATTTTTCCTATAAGTGCCTATTTGCAGTCTTGCTATTTGTTATAATTTGGTCCTCGATCAGGAATAGTCCTGGAACTTTCCCCACCCTTTTAACCGAATAACAATTTCCAGAGAATTAAAAGTCCTGATGATAACCTTAATTCAACGACTACATAGACATAAATCTTGGCAATGTGCTACATTATATAAAGAAAACTAATTGGGTTTGTAGTATTCAGGACCAAGTCGACCGCTTTCTTTTGGTACACAAGTTATTTGAACATACATTTCAGTATTACTTGTGATATAGTAATGACAGTAAAGTCCCTAATGAAAGCCAGTCAATTCTGTGAAAGCAATGAGAGTCAGTGCGTCGATGGCATAGCGGTTAGGACGCGCGCCGACCATGCACATGGTCCGGAGTTCGACCCCCGGCCGACACACTTCTTTACCTCGCTAAGCCAGAAATAATGCTGGTGAAGAGGAAAGGTTGGGCATGAGGCTAGCAACCCCATCCTGTAAAGTAAACACTGCTACTTCAAGCCACTAGCTTGAAGCCTTATGTTCAACTGGGGAACGTGAAGGAAAAAAAATTGAGAGTCAGTGATCGTCAGCAAGATACCATGCGTCGAAAAGACTTATTTCAAGACTTATTTCATGGGCCATTGGATAGAGTCCCAGTGGTCTAATGGTATACGAGCTCGCCTTGTAACCAGAAGGTCCTGGGTTCGAACACCGGTGGGTGCGTACTGATGAAGAGTCCCAAACTAGGATGAAACAGCCGTCCAGTACTCCCAGGTGTTCTAATGGTTCTCTAACTAATGTCAGCTCATGATGAAAATCCTGAAACTTATTTCAAGTCCCAGAGTAAGTGATTGTATAATATCCAACAGAAAAAAGCGTTTATGCATTAACCAAATACAATTTTGAATTGATTTAACTACGCTTGACCCTAATCTATGAAAAGCAAAAGGGTTATGAAAGCTTTCGAATAACCAAAGCGACTTTAACAGTCTCATATAACATGACGTTTAAAGCCCTAAGTGTGTCATAGATAGATAGATAGATAGATAGATAGATAGATAGATAGATAGATAGATAGATAGATAGATAGATAGATGGATAGATAGATGGATAGAAAGATAGATAGATAGATAGATAGATAGATAGATAGATAGATAGATAGATAGATAGATAGATAGATAGATAGATAGATAGATAGATAGATAGATAGATAGATAGATAGATAGATAGATAGATAGATAGATATCAAAAATTCTAATGATACTTAGGCACAAGCTTGAAGATGAATCCGGTCTCCAGTATCCCACCATCTTATTAAATGACACTTGAAGCATCATTTAGAATTTTTCATTTTATTCTTTAATAATTGATTTTCTCTTTTTATTTTGTTTTTTACAAGGTACTGGTGCATGGAACGAACAATTTCTCGCGACTGTAAGAGAAATGAATGAATCTCCAAATTTATGCCAACAAGGCAGACATCAGTCACCAATTAATATCTTGACCAGTAATCTTGTATATGATCATTCTTTGCCTGTAATGGAGATAGAAGGGTTAGAAAAGCAAGTAAATTAATCTTACTAATAATTTGATCAATCTCAGTAACTTAATATGTATATATTTTGTCAAATTCGTTTATCTACTTATTACAGTTTAATATTAGTTTTGCTCACTATAGTTTATAATGAATTTCCATGTGTACATGTAAATCAGGACAAGGCAGTTATCTTAACCAAATCAGCTGACGTCATTTTGTTCCAATTAACGTACTGCTCTGTAAATGTTGATTATTTCATCACGAAATTGTGTAGCATGAAGAATTGAAACCAGAGGAGTACCGAATAACTAGATTGGAACTATTAAGTAAGGGGCACAACTACAACCTTGAAAGGGATCAGACATAATCTAGCAGTCAGTCTAAGATGCTATGACATTATAATTCGTCGAGCAAGCTGAAATCTAATGTTCCATTAATTGTAACTTTTGTTAATTTAAATTACAATGCCGTTGCCATCTGATCTCCTGTCGTTACGGCCGAATTGATTTTGCAATAGTCGGTGAATTGAAGTCAGTCTGTCTGTAAAATATATTTTTAATAAATTAACCATATCCTTATAAAATCAACGCGTAAACGTGATATTTGCTGCTACACTTCAAAATGCGTTCAGATAAAGAATTTTTGTCCAATACTGAATTAAAATGCAACAATCCACATGTCAAATAATCCACAACGGAAAACTCATCAAAGGCTTTGAAATAAATGCAAGAGTAAGACAAGGCTACCTATTAACACTGATGACATTTCTAACTGTGGTAGACCAGATGATGGGTGTGACTGTGGGAAGCGAGAAGATGGAGTACGTTGGACTGATGAGACGACTCTAGAAGTTCCACTGTGGATAAAATTTATTTTGATAAATTCTCACAGCGTTATACAGTAATATTTACCGATGACGTTTCTAGCACATTTTATAACTCGTAATCATATCAAGTTGAAATGATGTAATTGATATGGGAAAGTTAAACGTTAAGCGCCAGTAAATACCGATAGACAAATGACCTCGAACACACCAGCCATATGCGTATAAAATACATACATTCATGAAAATAGTGAATTAAAAGACATGAAACTATTACACAGGATACCTTTCTCTGATGTGTGACAAAAATTCCACTCAATTTTAGATTAGAGCATTAGCAGAGTTTTATAACCATATTTTATACATGTACTCATCTAGCCCTAACAATAACTCTAATCTCCTTAACCTAACCCTTAGGCGAAAATATCGTATTCTAAATCTAACCAACTCTAATGTTGCCCTCATTAGGTTGATTTAAACCTAACCTGTCCCTAGCCTAAACCTTAACTTATTCTTTCCCAAACCTATCCTGAAACTTGCCAGATATCCCATGTAATAACATAACATTTCATTAAGCATATTTTATTCGTGATTACAATATTATTTACTAGGTTTCACTAACTCGCTCACTGAGTGTTTCAAGGTCGTCAATGCGGTCGCACTACACTGGCACTTACTGGTGCTTAAAGTTTAACTTGTCCACATATATATATATATATAATAACAGGAAATAAATTGTGCTCGAAACGTCATCAGTAAATATTGACGCTGTGAGACTTTGTCAAAATAAATTTTATCCACAATGGAATTATACTCTGAAACATTGCCCAAGTTCTACTGGTATATCACAGACTTGAGATTTGAATGTCGCACATAGAGGAGATGGGGGTGATGAAAATAACCAACCCACAACAACTTCAAGCACCAATCACTATGAGTGGAAGAAATTTGAATGAGATCACTTTCTTCACTTACCTAGGTACCATTATTTCCAATGCTGGTAATCGGAACTGGAAAGGCAAGGAATACCTTCGTCAACCTGAAATCATGTTGGGAATCTCCTGAGCTGCACTCAGCATAAAAAGCGAAATTGGGATTTTCAACACCAGAGTTAAATCAGTCGGTCAGTTCTTGTGTATGGGTCATAAACTTGGCCTGGGCGTTACGAAGAACACTTCCAGCAGGTAACTGTAGGATTTATCAACAGCTGCGTTTGGTGGCTCCATACTGACGGTCAAATGGCCAACCAGGAATAATCAGCAACAGAAACTCTGGGTGACAGCAAACTATTCAAGAACCTATTGCTTAGCAAATATTTAGAAGCAAATGGAGATGGATTGGACTCATTCTGAGGAGAATGTTAAATTGCATTGCGTGCCGTCCCACCATTGGAATGGAAGACGAATGAGAAACGATGAGCTAGGCTTGTGTCCGAGTGTTACATGGAGGAGACTGTTTGGCAAGGTGATAAGACCTTATGTTCAATCGTAAGGCCAGCTGAAGAGGACAGTAGAGGACAGGACAAAGCGGAGGCATTTTTTTAAAGCCCTATTGTTCACTCGGAATATCAGAGAATAATAATACATTGGCTGTCAGTGGCGCCGTTTACCGCAAATTCATGAAAGTACAATTGACCACTGAATTCTGCCTCAGTGATTGACTGGCAAAAAGGTTCGCTAAGTAATCTGAAGGTTTCACATACAATCCACAAGGTGATCATTACTGGATTATCCCACAATGGGACTAAACGGTTTTTCCAGTGCTTCTCTCACTGATATCAGTTAATGATCTGAATTAAAACCAATCAGATCCCTTCGAACAAATACTGAAGAAACTAAATTCTCTGAATGTTTTTGTAGTTTCAGCACACCTAAAATGAATTTAAATGTAGCATTGATTTCATTGCTGCTGTCATTTTAACTGATTGCATTATCCCGCATTGATTTCATTAATTTTGTCTAATTTCTGAATGAACACTCATTTCAGAAGTTCACCAGAATATTTGATTTTTTTCATGTTTGTCCACGAACTAATATCAGTTAGAGAACCACTGAAAACCTGCTGGAATTATTGGATAGATGTTTCGTCCAAACTTGAGTCCACCATGTCACGAAAGAGAACAGTTACTCGTTTATCAGAGTGTGTGGTGGTTGGGCTATATACTTCGCGAATTGGCAGAAGTTAGAATTCATGGATCTGTGGCTATATAGTCCAACTAATCTCCTTGTAACTGAAAGGTCACGGGTTCGAAAGCTGATGGGTCATGAACCAGGACGAAACAGTCCTCTAACTGATATCAAACCGTAGTTAAACATGAAATACTCTTCTATTACACTGGTCAGAATATTAAAACACTTTAGATAATATACTCATAAATCAAATAACGGCAGATCAACATGCTTAAAAACAGTTTAGACAAGCAGTGGACATTCATCTTCTCCCAGGTAACATACCTGAACAATCAGAGCAATTCACCCCACAGAATATTACTACTTATCATCTCTTATTTAAAGCAGCAAACAGTCTCATAAACTATTAAACTTATTGACTGTCATACAACGGCAAATATTATCCTTGAGAAAAAAAATTCTGATTAATTATGATCACTGTCAATATGCCAAAATGTCTAATAATAATAATAAACTTTCGCATTATAAATGCATAATTAGGCCATTACTGACAGATTGTCCTTCTGTGCTAATGTTGGTTGTCTTTTGTAAGACAATAATAAATCAGTACAGTAGATGCATATCAGTGAGGCGATTCTCTCTTTCTTTCTTTTTTGTTGTTGTTGTATTTCCATGAATGAACCAATCAATTATTCATTGAGAAGGGAAATTCCTCAGCTCAGCTTCAATGAGCTTCAATCAAACAATAATAAGGCTAGTTCATTATGGGGGCTAACACATAATCAAAATAGTCATGTTTCTCAGTAGAATGAATTTATTTTTTGTCTTTGTCTACTTCAATTAAGCTAATTATACGGATGAAAAAGTTTTCTTTAACTAGGCAGCATGTAGAACAGGTTATCTTTCAAAAGGAAATAAATGAATTAGTGTTATAAAAGGCTGAAAAAAGAAAAACTTTCATTCGTAGCATATTTTATTCTATAGTATTTAAGTAAATCTAATAATCATACTTTATGCTTCTATTTTGTACAGTAAAATGTTCACGAAATATAAAATAGTCCATTGTCTACAAATAGAAGAAACCCTTGGGATGAGGTGACAAGGTCTCTGTAGTTTTCTTCTTCTTATTTCCCTAACAAACTTTATAGAAAAGACTAGTTCAAGAAAGCAAGAATGACTGTTTGGGAGGAGGAATCAGATGATACCGCCGTTTATTTCGTTGACTCCTCATCACCTATGTATTATTATTATTGTTTCCTTTAATTCCTAGAGGAACATAGGGCTTCAGCCATGCGTCTCCATTGCGTTCGGTTCTCTGCTAGAGTCCTCACCTGGCTCCAAGACTGCCCACACGTTTTCATCTCCTCTTCACATCACCTCCTCCAAGTCACCCTCACACTGACGACCAACTCACCGCTTCCCTTTCGGGTTCCACTCGAGCGATGGCTTGTCTAGTGATGTCACTTGATGGTTTCCTCAGAGTATGGCCAATCCATCTCCATTTCCTTCTGCATATTTGTTTCACAATCGGTTCCTGCTGGGTTGGTTCGCTCATTGCCAGAGATCTCTGTTGCTGATCTTTTCTGGCCATCTGATCTTGAGCGAAGTATTGAGCGAAGACAGCTTTTAATGAAGGTCTGTAGTTTGCTTGAGATTCTCTTTATGACGCGCAGTGCGAGTCTCTGATCCGTATAGTGAGTAGCACTGACTTCACATTGGAGTTGAAAATCCGGATCTTGATGATTTCTGATGCTGAGTGCTGTTGACCTCCACACAGACTTGAGAGTAATGGAAGCTTGGCTTGTTTTTCCCTTCCTAGCTTTGATATCCTCGTCAGTTCCGCCTGTAGTTGAGACGATGCTCCCCAGGTAGGTAGGTGAAGGAGGTTGCTTCTTTCAGATTTCTCCCATTTATGCTGATTGTTGTCTGTTGTTGTTCTTGCTGTTGGTGGTGTTACCCAGGAATCTTCATCACCTCTGTTTTCTCTATGTTCACCTGAAGTCCTTCCTATCTTTGATGCTTCTTCTGCAAACTTTCTACTTTTCGCTTGCATATCTTCCAGTTTGTGGGAAATCAGACATATATCATCGGCGAAGTCTAGATCCTATGTACAGACTAACGAAATTACTGAGTTTATGTACAGAACACTTTTAACGTACTTGCAAATGTTACGGAATGTTAGTTAATGACAGGAGGTTGTAAAACTTAGTAAACAGTGCTCAGAAAGTTAAACTGACACAGTGTATACGTAGAAATTTTAAAATTAGACGAAGTAAATGTGTGAATACAGTCGAGTAAGAGTCACGTTACAATGATGAGAGGTGCGTCAGGTGGTGAGTAAGTAATAAATTAGGTTACTATGTACTCAGTCTGACTAAAATCATAGAAACAAGAGACAAACAAAGTTACGTTATATCAAACGGGGGTTAAAGCCAAGGATCGCGTAATCAAATAAAAGAAAGACAGTAAAGACATCCAGGTACCAGGGTAAGAAAGACTTCTAACCTCTTCATTCCGAATACGTGAATCAAGTTTCAGGCGTCTGATAGCGATTGCTTCAAGAAACTTGAGGAGAACCTGCCTTTCCCGTCTACTGATAATTCTAAAGGACTTCGTGATGTCCACCTCATGGACTGGATTGATGAGATGTCCAGCAATCTAGTTGTAATAAGCGTCTGTCCCCTTGAGACGCAAGCTTTTTGGTACTTGGTTACAAAATCTAAGGTGTTCCTCTCTCCCTGTTCTCCAAATGTAACTGCTCCAGCAGATACATGTAATTTTGTATACACAATTAGATTTACCATCAGAAGGGTATCTGTCGACCTTTGATTGCACCAAAGAGCATATTGTCCGATTCACAAGAACCATCTTGGCTTCAGGATAGGTTCTGACTATTGACGTACTCAGACTTCTGCTCACCGTAACAGGGCCTGTCCAGCGACTGGAGAGCATTCCACCAGTTAACAATCGACGTAGGGAGATGATATTATCAGTCAATAAAGCAGCGAGAATATGTGACTTCTTGATTGCACGTTCAAAACTCAATATAAATAGTTATCCCGGTGATTGCAGAGGGTCAAATTTTCTCAATACGCGTATGATCCGTAATACTTTTATACTGATATCATTGAACTACCATGCCACAAGTGAAGAGATAAATGTGAAAGATACATTCTTTGTGTATCAGTTTGCTTAAAACCACTTTTATGTTGCACTGAATAAATCTGACATGAGAACATTTTAAACACTTTGTAACTAAACTTAAAGACTGAAAATCTTTTAGGAAAATTCAATTTTCATACTAAAATATCGAAGCAACATCGTCTTAACTACAGGCCCTACAGATGAGGATATCAAAATCAGGATCAGAATGGCAGTTTGAAAATCTTTTTCGATCGGCAAGAAGTACAAGATTTAGATGTTTAACACCAACTTTAAATCGGTCAGTTATTCTACATGGATCAGAAACTTTCAGTGCACATCACGAACAGCTTCAGACTTTCATCAACAGCTGTCTTCCCTCCCCCCAAATTGAAGATCAACCTTTCAGAACGCATTAGTAGCAGGAAACTGCGGAGAAGGAATAACCAAGAACCTATTGCTCAAGAAATATCCCTAAGAAATGGAGATTGGTAGGATACATGCCAAGAAGGCCGTCGAATGAAGTTGCGCTCCAGGCTGTCACTCGAGTGTAACCCGAATGGGAAATGATGAGTGATGTGTGAGTCCCAAAGTGATATAGGAGGGGATCGTGTGAGAAAGAGATAAGAGGGGATGAGCGATCTTGCAGCCAGCTGAAGAAAACTGCAGAGAACAGGGTGGAATGGAGATGTTCTGTGGAAGCCATATGTTCCAGTCTGAATTCAAGAGAATAATAAAATGACAGCATACTAAAATAAAGTAATACATTTTGCAAATGAATAATCAGGAAAAATCAGGATTAACATGAAGCATGAAGACTACTCCATCCCTATATGGGACTGTTTATCAGCGAACGTAGTTCAGAATATTATAAGGTAAACCAGTTGACCATTCAGTGATTAGTCTGGAACCCATTGACTCTTGAAATCTGTTTTCTTTTCACTGGGGATATAGTGCCAGTTACTTCCGTCAGTAGTGCAGCTATTTGGTCCTAATGTGGGACTCTCTAGCATTGTGCCTTAAATGTCACCCAGTATTATATAGCTTTTAATGGATTGTGATGAAATCTACCCTGGAATAATTCTGTTTAGTGTACAAATTTGATTATTAAGATTAGTCACGTTTATTCTTTTGTTCTATCCTTCTATAAAAATGCCATTTTGCTCGTTTGTTCCTGTTCGCTTTTTTAAAATAAGCTTGAGTTGATTGTGGAAAATTCTGGATATGATGTACGCATCAGTCTAACCAGTGAGTCAGTACAATTAAATGGTGGTCCATTTTCATATGTCTATCAAATCGCCTTTATGCACATTAAATTTGGATCTACATCAACTCAAGGATCAGAACATAAAATCAATGGCAAAGCATTCCCAGGAGAAGTAAGTTTGAAGCTCAGTTTGGTGTAAAAATATTAAATTTTAATGATTAATAGTAAATTGAAGCATTTAAGAGAATTAGAAGCGTTTGAAACGTCGAAAATTGTTCAAATTAAGAAGTACAACTTTAAAGGAAAGAGGATAGGAGTTGAAACTGTTGTGTCAACAGGGGAACTTTACCTTAACATTGGCATGTCGCACTCTGCGCACTCCATCCTGTCATTAAAAAATTGAGCTTGGGGAAATACTTATGTAATAAGATGGAACAACTAACCACAGGAGTCAGAACAGGTTTTTCAAAAATCATGACAAAATAGATAAGTCGACAGTTATGTGTAATGCAATACTAAGTGTCCATATGACTTAGACGGCAATGGAATGTGGGGCATTTAAAACGATGGTAGTATATTCATGCAACTGAAATGTTTGTGAACATTACATGGAATCCTTGACAGTCCAGGGCTAAAGTGCACTTTATACAATCAACTCATTTAGAAATAGACTGTGTCACCTGAAAGATGCGGTAAAGACTAAGAGACAGTTTAATTTAATTTAGTCAATAACATACAACGGATTTGGGGTCAGATACATATAGGTCAGATTAACAGGTTAGGATTAATTAGATTATTGAAGAGCAAGTAGCCAGAGAAGCCCAAATTACTTGACCATCCTAAGATAAGGAATTTAGCAAAAAGCGCAGTTCTAGTATTGTAGGCAGTCTTACTCAAGAATGACACAGGACTGAATAAAGTGTCAGTCCTACAATCATATGAAAGAGATTAGAAAGAAAGAAAATTCGATAGAAGCTGTGTCTATCGTATATAGTGAGAATGATCCCACACTGCTCCGGTGCTTCAGTGATAGGATGCTGGCCAGCCACACTCTATTGCCTGCCGACGCACTCTAATCCCATCTAGCGGGTAATAAGCTTGATAGAGACCGAAGGTGTCAAGGAACTTAGTCCTAAGTTCCTATTGTAACGAAGTCACTTTGAACCGATAATGACAATGTATCTTCTCGACTTTAACTCCAAAACACCAGTATTCTTTGAAGGAAGTTATATTGTTTGGCAATTAAAGTAAAGACGGATACAAGCTTTTATTCGTATTCGTCTGCCCTCTTTGAACTTGCACACGATCAAACCATTTGCACCTTTGAGTTGCCCGCCAATGGTGACCAAGGTCAACGAACCAACGTTCAGTGTTCATATTCCTTGACGGAAGCGTTAGCGTAAGACCAGCAGCTCTATCACCATTACCACTGAAGCTCCAAGACTTGGAACCATATATGAATAGTAACAATAACAATAATAACTACAAATGGTGTTTAACTATTTGTCATCATTTGAAATTATTTGTGTTCAAAATGGTAACTAGTAAATAATCTCCTTTCCTTTTGTGATGTATTTGACAAAAGCTATATTATTAGGTCAAATCTTAAGAATTTAAGAGGAAACATGACTCAGGTAGTCGAAATAGAACTGTTTATTGACCTGTGGCGTTTTGAAAACTCTAAGAACTGGTGGTTAACGAATGTTGGTTGAATAACGTAAGATGATTCTCTGCAGAAAGGTGGACTGCTGAACTCTTCATCAAAAATCTACTTTTGAAAACTAAGTTATTCATTCAATTTGATGATGAAATACAAATAGCGTATTAACCCTCAGTTACCCAGACTATGGTTGAAAACTAGTACTGGTCTCCCTTGAGATGATGTACTCCTTTGAGTTCCTAGTGGAACATAGGGCTTCAACTGCACGTTTCCACTTGCTTCTGTCTTCTGCTGTACTTTTCACCTGCATCCATATTAATCCATACTGTTTCAACTCTTCTTCACACGATCTCCTCCATGTCACCCTTGGACGTCCCACTCGCCGCTTCCCTTTCGGGTTCCACTCGAGCTATGGCCTGACGCGCGATGTCACCCAGCGGCCTCCTCAGTGAGTGTCCGATCCATCTCCACTTTCTCCTGCATACTTGTTGTGCGATATCTACACCCATTATATACTTTTATCATAAATACATTCCAATAGTTACGAATCTTAATATAACAGCAGTGAAATATTCTCCAACACACTTCTGGATACTACTGCTTAATCAGCCTACAATAACTACTGAACATACTGCAAAGAATTTGGAAAATTTTGTGAATTACTCCAACAGTAATCAGTAGAACTAATCGAATTTTCGTTTTCAAAAAAAGCTTTCCATACGCCCATGTTATTTGTCTGTGCTGTTGTTCGCGCTATTCATTTTTTTTGGAGAATTCAGCAAAAAAAAGAGTTACACAAAAATACATATTTTTCAGACAGATAATTTATTTTGTTGAGAAAAGGAAAACAGAATAATTCCTTTGAAAATGGTTATTTGGATTTTATTTGAATTAGCAAATTTAATCTACATCTTTCATGCTAGTACATTGTTTCATTTCCATGGCATGGATGAATCTAATTAATTGTCATTTAAAAGAATGAACAATTATGTTCTTAAGCCACAATGACGAGTTAATACCAGTTAGAAAACCATCTAAAACCAGCTGGGAGTACTGAGCAGCTGTATCGTCCTAGTGTCTGGAACTCGTTGACAGTACACGTCCACCGGCGTTCGAATCCAGAACCTTCCAGTCACAGGGCAAGCTGGTATGTCATTCAGCCAGTGGGACCAGACTCAACAACCAGCTGGTGAATTATAACTTCTACCAATTCACCATGTGTAGCGCGACCACCAGCCAATGCCGTCGGTGAGTATTTGTCCTCACTCCCGACAGGGTGGACCCCACTGATCACGGCTTCTCACTAGAACTCGGAACATCTTCGCCCTAAAATCAGAAATTGGTAGAAGCTGGAAATAGTCCAAGTGGCTGAATGGTCTGCGAGCTTGCCTTGTAGTCGTAAGGTGACTGGCTTGAAACCCGACCAGGGGGTGCATGCTGGTCGAAACAGCTCTCCAGTACTCCATCTTCGTTTTCCAGCTGATGTCAGCTGAGGATATAACTTGAACCTCATCAAATTACTACAAAATAACTCTTGGATATTTTATTTCTCTTGAGGAGTAATGTTGTTCAAAGCTGATCTATTATATAAATATGAGTGTGTTAACCCAATCTTGTCTAAATATAGTCATGAAGTAGAGTTTTAAAGAAATTTTGAAGCAGTAATGTGTACCTTAAAATCCATTTTCCTCAACTGAACGATGTTTGATTGTTTGAATGCAAGGAGAGAAACGACAGACAGTAATCCCAAAGTCGAACCTCTCCTCTTTATCTTCTTTGCCCCAATAATGTTTCCTAAAATACTAACCACATTTGGCTCAACCTGAAGTTCATTAGACCTAATAGTAAAGATTACTGAGGATATAACACACTCATTTAAATCAAATTTCCCAATTAAATATCACAGGATCTTCAGTTATGCTAACAGTATTAGAAGAATTAGTCGCGATACTCACTTCTCTGGACGAAGAGAACGCAAAACCCTGTGATAAAATGAGGAGAACCTCTCATCCCTTCTAAAAACATTTCACAAAGATTGATTGGTATGGAAAATACGTAAACACCGAAGAAAATTTTCTTTTCAACGATTCATTTTCATAAGCTGTACAGTCGTACTTATATTTAACAAAGAAATCATAAGACCAATCAGATACTGGTAAAATGTTTCCCCGAAAAATGCATAACGTTATGTAAGGTGTAATGTAACGTAGAATGGGTGACCAATTGGAAGTTAGAAAAGAGGCAGAAGTTGGCATGACGTAATAAGTGTGAGAATATGACTAACCAGTATGATTGTGTCGAGTGGACAGAAACTAGCGGAGAGACAATAAAGTGTTTTTATAAAATCTGTATGAAAACGTAATGTTATTACTAAACAGTAATAGAGTGATAATAAAACATGGATGATGGGAATAATAATAATAATAACAAATAATAATAACAATAATAACAGTAAACGTATATAATAAAAAGAAGCCAAATTATGTGAAGAACGTTACTCTGGCTATGTTAGGGCGAGTGAATGTATGTAGTGCTTTTGAATGCACAGGTCCGGTTTCAGATTCCCAATAGCCAATGCTTCAGCTGTGTATAGATTACGTATTCGAAGTCCTGTCGAACGGTAGTGAAGGACTCTCAGTAGCACTGTGAAACAGTCAAGAGAGGTTACCGGATGTCTAGAGTTGACAGGGTGTTCAAGGATGGAGCTACTACTATTCTTCTTTTCTCCTCTTGCTAACCAAGCTAAACAATGTTCCGTAATACATTTTTGGACTCGACGTTGCATACGGCCGATATACTTTGCTCCACTCGAACAATTAGACTGATAAATACACACTTAGGTGGCCGAAAGTGGTATTTTATCCTGAACGTCAGAATGGATAAATTTTCCGCTGAAGAATGAGATACGTAAGTTGGCTACTTGAAATGTCTTCTTCAGACATTTGGGAAGACAGTTTCTAAGAATTTCTCCCTCAGTGTCACCTTTGAATTCCAGGTTCATGAAAAGAGTTTTCTTATGAACAGTTGTGATTTTTTACAATGTAGGCTTTTCCTTTATGTTTTTATAGATGAATATTGGTGGATACCCGTTCTCTAGTAGGGTTTCACGTAACGAATTTAATTCTTTCTCTACTGTGTCTTAGGAACAGATTTTTCCAATCCTTGAACTTAATGTATGTACTAAGTTTTGCTTTCGGATCAGTGGGACGAAGCTCTAGAAGTTGATAAACTATCCCGTCTATGTTGGCTTGTGATATAATGATCTTTGGATCGTGCAGTCTTGTCTTCTTGTGACCCAATATGGGAATATTTTATTCATTGAGTGATATGAATATGCTTACTCGTTATTTTATGTATACAGTATTTTGATTGACATAGTCAGTTAGCTAGTTGAAAAAATATTTCTATTTGAAATATTGTTGTTACTTAAGCCTTCAGACAGATAATATGTGAGCACATTCCCTTGACACCCAATTATTGTTAAAGAAACCTAATTCATCTGATTATAATAT